GTTGTTTTTGTTATTTTAAGAAGAAAATGATTTAATCGTATCGTAAAACGCCAAAATTAATCAAATAGTTTCAAGATATCAATAAATAATTGTTTGATTTGAGTATAAGTACAATATAATGTAACAAATTACAAATCTTACATCTATGAGTGGAAAATAACAACTAACATATATGTTATCATACTAGTTATTTGTTATACGAGTTATATATTTTCGTTTGTTGAGATGGTATTTATAATTATATATCTGTCTTTTAATTGAGCAATGTTTAGATATAAATATTAGGTTAAAGGACAAGAAAAGAATAAAACATTCACATCAATCATTCATACTTTGATTGCAGATCATTCCAAAGTTGTAAAAAATATGGTCGCCGAAGGTCGAGTGTTTCCAATTATTTTTGATCCGTAAATGAACAATTTGTGACCAAAAACTGCATACACTTATTAGTAAATGCATAACCAATATAAAGCACCATATTTTCCAGGAAAACACTTCTGCCATCCATGTGCTGTCATGTATTACTTCATGTTGAATATACAATCGCTGGCTGTAAAATTATTCTAAAATTATTATAGCAAAATAATCTGGAACTTATAAAGATAAATTATTGTATATGCACATATAATTATATGTCTTCTTTTCAAAAGTTGCATTATTGAATTTTACTCAAAAAGAATGACAATTTCCATTCTTCAAAAATGCCATATTCTTATTTTGTTAAAGTGAAATTTCATTCCAAGAAATTTAAAGAGTTCTTACTTTATTCAATGCTTTAGAAGATATGTCATTAGAACGCTTAAAATAAAAGTATTTACAATTTATAGTGAAACGGAGCACTTAAACATACCTATTCATCCATAAAGGGATTGTAAAATCAGTAGCTACAAGTCGATTACCATGCATTTCGGTTTTGGGTATCGCGATAGTTTCATTGCGCGTAAGTACACCTAATAATCCTGATGTATAAACGGTTTCGTTTTTTTTCAGTGCACCTGCGCTAATTTCGTTTGATCTTACTGCCTGTAATCTAATATGCAGTATCTTTTAATTATAATTGTTTCGTTAGCAATTAATCTCATACAATAGATTGCGATCTGATTAAATTACAGTTCAATCTTACGTAAAATTCAATTTTTCAGAAAGAAAAGTCCATAAATCGCCGCAGAGTCCTGTAACTTTCGAATCGTTATCGTAAAATTCAAAAAAACGCGATTCCTAAAACATATAATCAGAGAAATTATCCAGTTTTTGCTGTCAATTGATATTTCTTAGTTTTCAATTATTTAATAAATTATATAACATTGTTTTAAATTGTAAGAATAGTAAATAATTTAGTTATTTATAATTTTTTTTCAAAATTATATAGAAAAATTGTTTTCATATTAAATCGTAGTTACCACGTTAAAAATATGATATTTTTCTTATATATATATTTATTTATCTTTACTACTATTTTTCTTATTAATATGCTACGATTTAATACTATTTAATATTATTAATTACTTGATTTCATTTTCTTAAAAATTTCTGTTAAATTGGAATCACATAAAAATGTTGAAAAGTTTAAATATTTTCAATGGATAATTTCGAATATATAAACTTTCCATAATATAAAGATTGTCAGATAGGAACTATTTAATTAATAATTATCGGACATTAACAAATTAATTTTAATTTTTTAAGAGATATCATAGGATATTATGGAGAATATACAAGAATTTAGTCATTTGCATTTCATATAAAAGTAATTACCTGGAAGGATGTTACAGTCAAATTCTGTAATTGGAAATTGTGGATTTCCAATGCTCGACTTTGTCTAAGACGTTCTTGGTGTCTCATGGCAAACATCGGAACGCTGGAAATTGGAACGAAAGTTTTCTGTGTCTTGCTCCAGATCACGCCGTTCATCGTTTCAGACGATAGCAATGCTCAATGTAACCGGGAATAATTCTCGTTTGATAAAAACACTTCGTAATGTGCTTCGTTGACTTATAACGATGATATGTAATTTTGTTGCGCAGTATAATTACGGAAATTGTGATTATCATATCCTCGATCATATTTGTACACAATAATGAAAAATATAACTGAATGATAGATAAGTGAGATTAGGAGTGTCCTTGTAGAAAATAGAAATCGGAGCTTAAGTCAAATGTAAGGGAAGAATAACAGAAGCGTAAACGAAGCTTCTGTTATTCTCCTCTTACATTTGACTTATATTCCTATAACTTATATATATAAATCAATTTTTATTTTCGGCAGGAGTTTCATGTGTTACTTTAAGTAACATCTCTTCCTAAAATTCTTTTTTACGCGAGTCAATTTAATTACCTACAACTTTTTTATTATAGCTAAGTTAAAACTGATATTAATATTGCATTAATTAATCCATCAATTATTCATCCATAATTTATACTTTAACTAAAGCTTCTTATTTAACAATGAAGGTAAATAATTCTTTTATAAACTTACAAGTAGACTTATGTATACAGAAATATGCAATGTATTAAATATATCTTTGTAATAATTTTAACGTAAAGATTTTCTGCGATATATTTATACTTACGTTATTTATTCATGGCTAAATCGATTTTAGTCGCTATCAAGATTTGCAGAATAAATATGCCTTTTTTCCAACTAAATTGCTCGGTGCCTTGATGACATGTCGATTTGTTATCATACAAAGCTAACGCGAAAACTGATATGATCGAGGTCATCGATGTACGTCATCGATTCTATGAATAAAATATGTAAATTAATAATTGTAGTTACATGTTACGGATATTTTAACATCTGTGGCAGATTGTAAATAAAAAGATAATTTATAGCTAACATGTATTGTTACTTAACATTTAAATCAGATGGAATAAATTGGATCATTATTGTATAGCCATAACATGAAGCTTTTCGGAATGGAAAAAATTCAAATTATCATAACTTTAAAGAACGCAATACACATGTATGTAGACAGTTAAATGTTGACTATATTACAAAATGTGATTTACACATTTCAAATAATGCATTCTAGCCTATATCAATGTTTAAATATAAATGTTCAAATTAGAAAAAACACTGGATAAGTTATAAATAAAAGCAAAAAAGATCATTCTTAAAGATTTATAAATTGATTTTTATGAGTTAATTAAAATGACTTATCATGCAAATTTCTAAATGCGTAATGTAATGACAATTTTTTTGCAAATTATATAGGAAATCTTCATTATGGTTACTCCTATTAATATATTTTTTATATGAAAAAGGGAATGAGACCAAGCGTAATGTACGAAAAACATGAATTGTATATTTATATTTGACTGAATATATAAAGGTCTTAAATGTGTATAATCCTTCGCTGAAGTTTACATAAATTTAACTTAAACCTAAAGTGTCTGTGACAAACCTTCGAGACGGTCGGGATTACATTAGATATAAATTTCGATTCGGAGGTTTGTCAATTCTAAGTCTTATTTAACTCAATAGCACTTTCGCGCACTCTCCAATCATTGTCCGTCCGATTAACGGACATGGGAGTAAAAACCACCGGATGACATCTTAAGTCCAGTCTTTCTTCTTTTTTCTCCAATGGAACATGCTCTTCATGTTTCTTTTTTCATTAATACAAAATTATAAAAAGTATAATACAGTTCTGCTCCTTTAATTCTACGTTTTCATTCTCTAATCGTTCTGCGCTAATATTCTACCTCGGTTTAAAGTGGGCATTAATTTCGCAAAGTCCATCATCTGATGTTGCTCGATCCGATATCAAGCAATAATATTTTAGCGCCTGTTATATATATATATAGATTGTATATTATACGCCCCATATACGAATAACATATAATTTATACACGAACGCTGATAAAATTTTCCATCCAACATCACTGAGTGTTTGCGGGTATTAAATCTCAGTCGTTTGCGTCTTTGAGGTCAAGGAATACTAAAGAAAAAATAGTATCTACAAAATTTAGTGTAAATTCTCTTATTAGCAATGATAACAATTACGTTGACATTAAGTATCTGTGAATATATTGACAATGTATGAATATATTGACACAGGAAAGCCATAAATGTAGCAAATAAATTCATTCTTATTTTTCATTATATTATGGTTTTTAACATTTAGATATAGAACATAATATAAATTCATATAGCACAATTGCAGCAATAAATTATGTTTTCAAGTAAAAGAGCGACCTCAAAGATTATAGATAAAAGATACATATGATTATCATAAAAATGTACAAATTGAATACTTTTTTTATTAACAATCAATATTTGCTATCCGGGTTTTGGCATATGATGATTATAAAAATTGCTTTTTAGAAAACGTCTCAATATATATTCACAAAATACACACATGCACACACGCACACATTCATTTCTTATCGTTCTTTATTTTCTCATTTTTGCTTATTACAATATATATCCGATTACCCGCATATACGAATCTTTTTGAACAGTTCTGTAAAGATTATTTAAAAACGTGATTCATAGAGGAGTATGCCTTATATAGAGCATAACAATATATTCCATACATATTATACCCTTTGGACATAGCATGCACATGATTAAACACTCGTTTTAATATAAGCTATCAACATTTGTTGATATTGTGTTTTGTAAGAGAGAATTCATTTTTCTTCTTTGTGAAATAGAATTATCTTTCGCCCGTCTTATATATCTTACGAATAAACGTATAAATTATACATATATTTACTAATATAATGCGTCAATGGATATCTATCTTTTAAATAAAATGTAAAAATAAAAATACGTATTAAAAATTTCGTTTCATTGTGTTGCATTATTATAATCACAAATGGAATCATAGAGCATAACGGTCACTTCTATATCCCACGTATGTACGTATTAAATTAAGTGTAAAACATTACAGATATATATATTATGTATATATATCATCCAAAATAAACGGTAATATTATATATTATAAAATACGTGTATATTTATAACAATAAATAAATGCATATATATGGCAGTGATTAAGTATTGTAGCTACTCTTTGTGTCTATCTTGTTTGTTCAATACCACATCCAAAAAAATAATGTAATAGATCGTAAGAGGAAACACACTATATACGTTATTCGAACTAACAATAAGAGGCAATATAAAATAGGTGTATATTTGTAAAAATAAATAAATGTATATGGCAATGATTAGTAGTAGCAGCTCTTTGTATCTACCCTATTCGTTTATAATATTATCGAAAAAAAAGTATCCGATAGTATCGCAAGAATAAACATACGTTTTCATTGACGCTGACAAATATCACGACAAATATACGAATAACGTACGCATTCTTGTGACAGCTTCTTTTTTTTCTCTTTTAAAACTGGCAGTGCCTGTTTCGATGACAATCTACACAGAGTTGCTGAATTCCAAAGTCTTGAAGTTGTGAACGAACATGGTAAGCAGCTAATTAGAAGCTGCATTTTGTTTGATCGAAGATGAATCATTCGTGGTTGCGAATGAAGTCGTTTATTTTGATACCCTTGTTTCAGTCGTAACTTTACTGGGATCTGGTAACCTGACAACTAATTGTGCGCCGTTTTGCATCGGTCTTGAGCCATTAGGCACGTTTGGTTTGGGAATACCAGACTGAGGTACTACCGCAGGTAAAACTTTCTTTGCGCCACTCAATTTGGGCGAGCAACACTGTTTGTCGTCATAGATATCGTTCAGATTGACATTCGTAGTGGGATTCTGGTAATTAGAAGTTTTTATCGGCGTGCCATGCTCCGTGCTAAAACCGCAATTTGGTCTCTGCTCAACGCAATTAGAATTTGGAAAAGTATTTGTTGGTGGTAGCATTTTTATCATGTTATTGTGATCGTTAAGATTACACATGTTTACTGGTTCTGTGCCTGTTTTTTGATCACTCTTATATATCGGCGCTGACAGTTGTGTTGAATTAGTCTTGTTGGTACTCTTGTGACTGCTGCCGGAATAACTGGTGATAGATTCGTTGCAGAAATCGCTCAAATAGGTTTGATTTATGTACCAATTATGCAGTCGGTGATGTATTTCCGGGAATTGTGGCCTACGATTTGCTACCTCGTGCCAGCATTCGATCATCAAACTGTAAATCATCGTCGGGCAGTCTTCAGGACATGGTAATAGTTGCCGCGAGCGAATCATATCTATAACCTCCTGATTATTGTATCCATAATATGGCTGAACAGAAATAAATGCATAAATTGTAAGAAAACATTAAAAAATTCATTATTATTACTTTTAATTTGGTTACTTTAATTTTACCTGCAATCCATAGCTGTAAATTTCCCAGAGTACAACTCCGAAACTCCATACATCCGACTCGGTAGTGAATTTACCATAAAGAATCGATTCGGGTGGCATCCATCGAACAGGGAGTAAACTCTTGGATTGTACTCTGTAGTAGTCGCTGCTATATATATCTCGCGACAGACCGAAGTCTGAGATTTTGACTGTTAGATTATCGCCTACTAGGCAATTTCTTGCTGCCAAATCACGATGGACGTAATGATGACTAGCTAAATATTCCATGCCTAAGGAGAACGATAATTATTATACGTAAAACAAAATTATGTTAACCTAATCGTAAGAAAATCAATATCTACCGGAAGCAATTTGTAAAGCAATATGCAAAAACTCCGGTTGCTCCAGAATTTTTCCGCCACTATTATTTAATGGAACATCCGATCTCGGAGAATGACAGATTAGAAATTCATGCAAATCTCCTTGAGTCATGTACTCAAAGAGCATACACATTGGTTCCCCTTTCAGTATCACACCAAGCAAACAAATGATATTCGGATGCCGTAGATCCGTCATCAATTCGACTTCTCTTTTAAAATCGCTTTGCGTTTTGGGCGTAGCATTTTCCTTCAGTGTTTTTACCGCTACATAAATAGGTGGCTCACATTTATTTCCCGTTTGCAATTCGCCTTTATAAACCTTTCCTAAAAATATAGTCAATATTAATTTTTAAGTGAAATTATTTATTAAATTTACATACAGCAAAAATAATTTTCGTATATTTACCAAAAGCGCCTTCACCAAGTTCTTGCAAGAGCACGATATTATTTGTAGTAAATTGCGGTATCCTATTATTAGATGTTCTACTACTGCCACTGCTTAAAGTGCCAGTGCCCGGCGTCGTATTACCAGGCCCTGCCAAAAGAGAACTCATTTCCATAGGTTGTGTTGTGCTCCTCCTTCCATCATATATATTCTTATCACACTGGATACTAGTTAACATCTATTAAAAAGAAAGTATTGTTAATAATGTTATCTGCTTGCGACTTATTTTGGAAAATATCAATACAATTTTGGAAAATATCAATACAATTTTCCACTTTTGCATAGAAAATATATGTATATACGAATATATTTACTTTATTGGATGGTAAATGATTCATTTGCCTTCTGGATTTCCTACTTCTGTAGCAGCAGCAATAACAAATTAATATAATAACAAATCCTCCTGTTAGTACAAAACCAACGACCGCATAAATCCATAAATTCTCAACTGAAAATAATAGAAATATTTTTAAGTACACGCATAGTAGGTAAAATATATTTTTGTGTATTTTACAAGTTCTTACCACATTTAGGTATACTGCAAAATTCTTTTTGCATTCTGTTATTGACATCAACATAACACCATGGCTGAATTTCTTTACCGCCAGGGTTCCGGCAATAAGAATGACGTCCAGCTAATTCGGGATAATCAGAAATCGGTAGATTAAAGTGATGAGACCACCGCAAACACATTCTTCCACTAACGCTTGTTTTCACAGTTCCTCGATAGGATTTTCCACTACCCCAATAGCAATAATCATCTGCAAGAAACATGTTAAAATTGTATGCAGTCTTCAAGATTTCTACTGAACGCTTTATATTTATTTACCTTATGATATATAGCTAATAATTAAAAAACCAAAAAATAATTTCTATTTTTAGCATATTTGGTATTTTTCAATCCTAAATATAATAGTATTTGATTTGATAATAAGCACGCCAGTAAATTAAATTTCACTTCTTTTACTAGCTGAGCAAATTTTATAAGATCATATATATATATATATATATATATATA